TTTTTTTTTCTAAATACATTATAAGTACATCTTTCATTTGACATACTTTTTATTAAAATTGGACAATTTCCCCTTATATAGGGGGCGTTCAAAACTTAAAATATTGTAAAAAACATAGATCTTTTTCAACTGAACTTTTGAAAATGTTCCGGAAATACTGCGTCCTTTAAACATATATCAAATCAAAGGTTATGTTATATACTATCAAATGAAAAAAAAAAATTTGTCCCGACATCTTATCTTCTATGTGCAAATGGCTGTCGAAAATTTAAAAAAAAATGTAATGTTTGCGATAAAAATTACATTTTATCGGGATGTTTTTTGTACTTAAAACTGCCATAACTTTTTCAAAAATGAACAAATAAAAATAATATTTTTTTGTATTGAAACCTTAGATATTTCCCTTTCATTTGATATAATTTTTTTTGAAAATCTAACACTTATTCTGCTTCACTGGGAGGATTTAAAATAGTAACTTTTTTACAAAAATAACTTTTTCAACTTAATTTTTGAAAATGTTCCGGAAATACTACTTCCTTTAAACAATATATCAAATTAAAGCTTATTTTATGTACTATAAAATGAAAAAAAAAAATTTGTCCCGACACTTTTTTTTCTACATTTAAACGGCTGCCGTAGTTAAAAAAACACTATTTTTGTGTTAAAATTTTCGATTTTCGATTTTAAATTTTCAACTTAAAAATGCTATAACTTTTTGAAAAATGTATATATCAGCACAAATTTTTTTTTTCTAAATACATTATAAGTACATCTTTCATTTGACATACTTTTTATTAAAATTGGACAATTTCCCCTTATATAGGGGGCGTTCAAAACTTAAAATATTGTAAAAAACATAGATCTTTTTCAACTGAACTTTTGAAAATGTTCCGGAAATACTGCGTCCTTTAAACATATATCAAATCAAAGGTTATGTTATATACTATCAAATGAAAAAAAAAAATTTGTCCCGACATCTTATCTTCTATGTGCAAATGGCTGTCGAAAATTTAAAAAAAAATGTAATGTTTGCGATAAAAATTACATTTTATCGGGATGTTTTTTGTACTTAAAACTGCCATAACTTTTTCAAAAATGAACAAATAAAAATAATATTTTTTTGTATTGAAACCTTAGATATTTCCCTTTCATTTGATATAATTTTTTTTGAAAATCTAACACTTATTCTGCTCACTGGGAGGATTTAAAATAGTAACTTTTTTACAAAAAATAACTTTTTCAACTTAATTTTTGAAAATGTTCCGGAAATACTGCGTCCTTTAAACATATATAAAATTAAAGCTTATTTTATGTACTACAAAATGAAAAAAAAAAATTTGTCCCGACGATCTATCTTCTATACGCAAATGGCTACCATATTGAAAAATATACTATTTTTGTATGATAATTATGGGTTTTGTATTTTATTTTAATAGAAGTTGATGTTGCTTTTGCAATTATCCATCAATTTTTTAAAATTAAACACTATCTACAGATTTGCATCGAAGCGTTTCTTATGATAGTGATTTTAATCACTGTCAGATTAAATCTATACTGGACCCTACTATGCAATGTCTCCACTATGCCGCGACCCCACTGTGCTACCGTTTTTTTATTTTTATGTTATATTTTAATCAGTATTAATTTTTCTTTTTTTTTTAATCAATGTGTATAGTAAAACCAAGAATCGATAGAGAAGGAATGAAAAATATTACAATTAAGGCTGGCAGAAACCAAAAATGGGTAGTTGATGTATCTGGTGAACCAGCACCTACGCTAACATGGAAACTAAAAGATCAAACAGTTATAAACAATGAAAGAATAAAAATCGAAAACATCGACTATCAAACTACTTTAACTATAACAGGAGCTATTCGTAAAGATACTGGTGTATATACATTAATAGCTGAAAATGCATCAGGGAAGGATGAAGCAACTCTCGAGTTTACTGTATTGAGTAAACCAAGTTCACCACAAGGACCATTAGAAGTAACGGATATTACCAAAAAGAGCTGTAAAGTGAAATGGAAGAAGCCTGAAGATGACGGTGGAAGTCCAATCACTGAATATGAAGTCGAGAAAATGGATGTCAATACCGGTAAATGGGTACGCGTTGGTAAAGTACCCGCAAAAGATAGCATTAAAGAACCAGAATTCGAAGTAACTAATTTAGAAGCTGGAAAAGAATATAAATTTAGAGTTACAGCTGTAAACAAAGAAGGAGATTCAGAGCCTTTAACTACAACTAAATCAATAATTGCTAAAAACCCATACGGTAATTAACAAAAAAATTTCGAATAATATAGCTATAAATAATAATTATTATGATTTAGATGAACCATCCAAACCAGGAACACCTGAAATAGTTGATTATGATAATCAAAGCGTGACACTCAAATGGACTGCTCCAGAAAAAGACGGCGGTGCTCCCATTGAAAAATATATAATTGAAAAAAAAGACAGGTAAAATTTTTCAGACTTCAATAATATATATCATAAATATTAATAAAATAAAACATATGCAATTATACATTTGTTTCAAAATACTGAATTATATTCATAGTATTTTTCTAAATAAGGTAAATTATAAAAAATAAGTAACTAAAAGTTTTTTTTCCGGAATATCAAAATAAAAAACTATCCTATTTCATTATAAAAAAACATTAACAGCTCCTTTAGTACTTGCTTCTATACATAGTTTTTAAGGAAAATTACTCTTTTTAAAAAGGTTTAAACAGAATTGGGAGCCTGCTATAGAAGTATCAGCTACAGATCTAACAGCTAAAGTACCAGATTTAAAAGAAAAATCAGAACTGCAATTCCGAATTATAGCCGTTAACAAAGCAGGGCCATCGCCTGCATCAGAACCAACAAAACTTCACATTGTTAAACACAAGTCATGTTAGTGCTAAATTATAAATAAAATGATAAAAAATTTATTGTTTAAAATTTTATTCGTTTTATAGTAAAACCAAGAATTGATCGTACAAATTTGAAAAATGTTGTGGTAAGAGGCGGAAAGACGGTCAAGTATGACGTTAATATTAAGGGTGAACCAGCTCCTACTGTCAGATGGGAACTTATAAACAAAGAGGTATATTTACATATCTTTATTTCTTTACCGTCGCAATAAATAATAATAATTATTATGAATATTTTTAATTATGTTCGATGTCCTCTCTAAAAGCTATTACTTGTGCCAGTGAAATAAATTTTTGTAAAATACTAAATCGATAGAGGGAGTTTTACATCTTTAATAATTGGACAATTTTTTCTTACCATCGGTTATTTTCTCCGCCTATTTTAATAATTGATGCAATATTGTTCGATTTTATTAAAAATAAATAATGATAGAATTGCTATTATCAGAAAAGAAACTATTATATCCTTTCCATTAGACATGGGTATGTAAAAAATTCAAAGAACCTATTAAATAATATTATATAAAAATTACAAGTAGTTATGTTATAATTTAATTTTTGTTAAATATAATTATTATCTTTTGTCTAAATTTAAATTTTTTTATTTGAATTAGTAGTAATAACATTTTTGAATGGTATATGTGTAGTTAAAATATTTTTTTAATTCTTCTTTTTCCTCGCCTTAATCCCGACTACTTGGAGTCGGCCACCCTTATCCTAAAGTTCACTTGACACGATCTCCCACAACATCTACGCTCACATCAGCTGTCCTCATATAGCATTCAATTACATTCCTCCATCTCTTTGTTGGTCTTCTTCTACCTCTTCTTGATTCAACATTCATTTCTATAACAGTTCTTACAGCTTCCAATTATTCTCTCCTCATAACATAACCAAACCATCTAAATCTATTTTCTCTTATCTTATCCACGATTGACGCAACACCTATACTCCCTCTTATATGTTCTTTCCTTATCCTATCTTCTCTAGTCACTAAAAATAATTTTTAATTAAAAATAATTAATCCTTTTTTACTAAATAATTATTTACCTTTTGGTAATTTTTATTTCAGACGGAACAAGTTATAAGGGCTGTGAGTAAAATATAATAAAAATCTTGTTAGCTATGTAGATTTTGAATTAATTTAGTAGAAACAGTTTCGTTTTGTTTTTAATTAAGTTTTATTTAAGAACATTAGTTTTAAAATAGTTATTTGTAAGATTAAAAATAAAAAATATTAATAGAAATATCTAATACATGAACTTGAAGTAAGTCTTAAAGTAACAAATTATAGAATTGTACATGTATTATCCTGAGAAATATACATGGATATATTTGTTTTAGATAGAATAATTCATTTATTACCAAAGAATTATTCTTTTGTGTTTGGTAATGTAGTAGTATTAGAAATTATTATATTAGTAGATATCCTTATAACTGTGTGTATAGATCATTTTTAGAAAAAAATAGTTGATATTTTAAAAAAACTATATCAAATTTGTTTTAATGAACTATAAGAGTGTATTAATTATAAGATAAGCTTAATTATGTTCGAATTATTCTTTGTGTAGAAAGTTGGATAGTTGGTATTTTTTTTTGGTTGTTATTATTTTCATGTTTGAAATTTGTGCAAAAATCAACTAATATAATGAAAAACGGCCAAATTCATTATACTTCTTTATTTGATATTAGGTTATATCCGAAGCAAACGTACTAATAGAAAATGTACCATACAACACAAAAATCACTTTGTCAGATACAACACGAAAAGACTCGGGTGTTTATAAAATTATTGCTGAAAACGATTTTGGAAAAGATGAAGCTACTGTTGAAGTTACTGTTCTTTGTATGTAAAAGACATTTCTTTTATGATTGTAAGATTACTTTTTTTTTTCTTCTATAGGTCCACCAACAAGACCTGAAGGTCCACTCAAAGTAAAAGATGTTACAGCTAGTAGTGCTAAGGTCAAATGGGAAAAACCTAAAGATGATGGTGGTAAACCAGTTACAGCATATGTTGTTGAAAAAATGGACGCACAAACAGGACGTTGGGTACCTGTTGGACGAGTTCAAGAACCTGAGATGGATGTTAAAGGTTTACAAGAAGGTCATGAATACTCATTCAGAGTGAAAGCAATGAATGAGGAAGGTGAATCTGAACCTTTGGAAACAGAAAGCACGATAATTGCTAAAAATCCTTATGGTAACATAAAATAAATAAAAATCTCTTGAAACCCAATTGTTAATTTTTACACCATATAGAAATTCCCGGCAAGCCTGGAACACCTAAAATCACAGACTGGGATGTAGATCGAGTTGATTTAACATGGACGGAACCAAAACACGATGGAGGAGCTCCTATAACTGGCTATGTTATTGAAAAAAGAGATAAATTGTCTACTGTATGGGATGAAGTTTTAACTACAAAAGTATGACAAAAGAATTTCAATTTAACAACATTTTAAGACTAATTAATAATTATTTTTTAGACACCAATATGTCAAGGTACTGTAAAAAATCTTAAAGAAGGAAATCAGTATCAATTCCGAGTACGAGCACTAAATAAGGCCGGACCATCAGAACCCAGTGATGCTACTAAATCACATATAGCTAAAGCTAAAAATTGTAAGTTGGCAACATAATAAATTTAACATTTATTGATACGATTTAATTTATTTTACAATATCATAATTTTAAAATATTTTAAAATTTTCTTTAAATTTCTTAACTATGTTTTTTTAGTAAAACCTCTTATAAACCGAGATAAAATGCAAAAGGTCATAGTAAGAGCTGGTCAAATCGTTAAATTTGACGTTGATGTACGAGGGGAACCACCTCCAACTATGACTTGGTCGTTTGAAAATAAAACTTTAGTATCAGGACGTTTAGTAAAAATTGATAACGAAGATTATAATACAAAGTTGGTTTTATCTGACAACAGCAGAAAAAATTCTGGAATTTATACCTTACGAGCAGAAAATGCCTCTGGAGTCGACGAAGCTACAGTTGATGTTGTTATTTTAGGTATGTAATTTTTAAACCTTCCAATGTTATGGTGTTAATTTAGATTTTACTACAGTGGGGTATATTTTTGACTGGTCTATCTTTATAAAGACAATCATCCACATCCCTTTTACTCCACATACTTTTAGCGTTATGTACAATATGCCAATGTAGATTTTTTTATTTTTTAATAATTTTAGCAGTTATAATTACTATTTTGTTGATCGGAATTTCCTAATTATTAAAAACTTTTATAATAATATATGATACGATAAAGTGTAAAAATAAATGAGGTACTCGGTACAAATGTATAAAGCAGTTAAATAGCGCGGAACCTTTTATTATATCAACAACAATATAATTAATCAACTAATGCCGTAGAAGTATCAAATAATATAATATACAAAACTCAATGTTCGCAGTTAACGTTACGGTATTAGAGGTGATAACTTCACAAGTGCTCCTCATGGAACGATGTTAAGCAAACCGTGTGTTAAGGTGATTCACTTATCACAAACTATTTAAGTAATCGAAAAATAAAAATAATATTGAGAATTTTTTTATTGGTTTCGTTTAGTTCAATTTATTATTCTTCAATTTATCACTCATAATGAATTTTTTATGTTCATACCTTATAAGAATGTGAACTTTATTTTTAAAATAGAAACATACATAATTAATAACTAATTAAATAGAAAATTATGTAATTAAGAAAAACTGGTCGATAACAACTTTTGACCTCTATTTCAGAAGTTATTAATAGTTAAAAGTTATTTAATTACTGGTAGTGAAGATTGGGTACTGCTATTTATATAACAAGACATTTCCTGGATGTAATATTCCTACCGCCTAGGTATAAACATATATACTCTGCCCCACTGTTTTTAGGTCGTCAATTCAATTATCACCGGCCCACTGTGCTCTGACATAGTAGCCCAGTGGACCAGTTCGTCTCTGGCTGCAAATAAAAAAAATATGTAATAATAAAGTCCAATAATTATTAATTATATTATTTATCAGATAAACCGTCATCGCCCGAAGGACCTCTTGAGGTAACTGACGTGCAAAAAGATAGTTGTAAGCTTCATTGGAAAAAACCTAAAGATGATGGTGGTTTACCTATAACTGGATATCTGGTTGAAAAAATGGATACAACAACTGGTAAATGGGTACCAGCTGGTTTTGTAGATCCATCAAATACTGACCATCAAATAACTGGTCTTGAGCCAAATAAGAAGTATAACTTCCGCGTTAAAGCATTAAATGAAGAAGGAGAATCAGAACCTTTGGACACAAATGCTTCAATTCTCGCTAAAAATCCATATGGTAAGCAAAATTATTAGTGACACAAATTATTCAGCAAATCGTATTATACATTCATCCATACAATATTTTGATATTTTTTTTATTTTTTTTTTCTTGAATTATATGACCAATGTAACAAAAATATTGTTTATTTGTTATGTAAAATAAAGATCCGAGCACCAGACATCAAATCATTACTTTTTTCCCGAATTTGTGTATGCTATATGTAAACTAAATCACTTTATTTAAGATCAAAAAAAAAAATAAGACTTTTATTATTTTGTTCAAAGATGCTCCATCAGCTCCAGGATTACCTGAAATTACTGACTACAACGAAAATTCTGTAGACCTTAAATGGGATGCACCATTTAGAGACGGGGGAGCTCCAATAACAGGTTGAAATTTTTTCTATCTTTCATATAAAATCATTTATTTTCATAAATTCCAAATTTATATTAATTATTAATTTTAAAAATTACTTAGGATACATTATTGAAATGAAAGGCAAATTTGATCCTTCGTTCGTAAAGGCAGCTGAAATAATAGGAAATGTATGCAAAGGTAAAGTTCCAAAATTAGAACCAGGTCACCAGTATCAATTTAGAGTAAGAGCTGTAAATAAAGCGGGACCAGGTGAACCAAGTGAAGAAACATTGCCACATATTGCAAAAGCTAAATTTTGTAAGATTTAATTTAGGTTATGAAAAAATTATCTATTATATATTACAATTTTTTTTTTTTAAAGTGAAACCAAGGATTGATAGAACCAATTTGCAAAATATTGTTATGAAAGTCGGGCACACTAAATTGATTGACGTAAACGTAAGTGGAGAACCTGTTCCAGTTGTTACATGGACACTTAAAAATAACGTAAGTAAAATACAAGTTATACAATTATATATCTATCTATAGATTTATGTATCTAAATAATTACTATTTACTTATTTACTTTACTTATATATATATATATATCATTTATTAGATTTTATCAACTGGAAATTCGTTGGAAATAACTAATATTGACTACAATACAAAACTAATGATTGGCAAAGCAAAACGTGAACATAGTGGGGTTTATACGATAACAGCTAAAAATTCTGTTGGAGAAGATACAGCAACAATCGATATAACCATCTTAGGTAGTTTTTTATCTTGTTAATAATTTACTATTTTTTTTTTTTCAAAATTTAATGTAAATATTAATAAAGGTAAGCCAACAAAACCTGGTGGCCCTCTGGAAGTATCAGATATAACAAAGAGTGGTTGTAAACTTAAATGGAAGAAACCAGAAGATGATGGTGGTACACCAATAGAATATTATGAAATAGAAAAGCTTGATCCACTTACTGGACAATGGATACCTTGTGGAAAATCTAGCGAACCTGAAGCCAATATTACTGGTCTACAAGAAGGCAAACAATACAAGTTCCGAGTAAGAGCAGTGAATAAGGAAGGAGAATCTGATGATTTAGAAGCTGACAAATTCATTATTGCCAAGAATCCATTTGGTAAAATAAAGTTTAAATATTTTAATACTTGTTTTCTCATAAAAAAATAATTTATACTTGTAGACGAACCAACTAAGCCTGGTAAACCAGTTCCCACCAACTGGGACAAGACGTTCATTGATCTCGAATGGTCTCCACCAGAATCTGATGGTGGAGCACCTATTGAAAAATATATTGTCGAAATGAGAGATAAGGATGAAAGAAACTGGGTACCAGTTTTAACAGTACCCAATAAGTTAGTAGCGTTTATTCTTTTAAAGTTAAACATTTTTACATTTTTATTAATTTACTTAAAATACGTAAATATATTTATATCTTAAACAGAACTGCTGGCCGAGTTACCGACGTAGTTGAAGGTCATGAATATGAATTCAGAGTAATAGCTGCTAATAAAGTCGGACCTAGCCCTCCAAGCGATGTTTCAAAACCAGTTATTGCTAAACCTCGGTTTTGTGAGTTTTTATACAGTTACAAAAAATTATATAACTTAAATATAATATACACTTGTAAATTTATTTTCAGTGGCGCCAAAAATTGACCGAAAAAATTTGGACAAGAAAGAAATTCGCAGAGGAAAATTCTTAAAATTCGATGCGGATGTTCAAGGAGAGCCTGCACCAACAATAAGTTGGATGTTCAATGGACAACCAATTTTATTTAATGACAGGTAATTTTTTTAATTATATAATTATTGATTTTATTTTATAAATACAGCAATGATATAAAATGTACTAATAGGCTAACAATTGAAAATGAAGATAACAAAACTACATTTACTCTACAAAAAGCTAAACGATCTGATTCTGGAATTTATACGATAACGGCCAAAAATGATTCTGGTACAGACAAAGCAGAAGTTGAAATCATTGTACTTAGTAAGTTTTGTTGTAAATTATTAATGTTCAACATTTCTTCTAATGGTTCATTTATTTGTAAAGCTGCACCAAGTAAACCTAAAGGACCACTCAAGGTATCTGAAGTTACTGCTACTGGTTGTGAACTTAAATGGCAGAAACCTGATGACGACGGCGGTATTCCTATTGATCATTACGTAGTTGAACGGATGGACACAGAAATGGGTAGATGGGTCCCAGTATGTGTTTCTAAACTACCAGAAGCCGAAGTTACAGGTTTACATGAAAACAAAGAGTATTTATTCCGTGTAAAAGCTGTAAATGCGGAAGGAGAATCCGAGCCTTTAGAAACAGATTTTGGAATTGTAGCCAAAAATCCTTACAGTACGTGTTGGTGTAATTCAAATGAATTAACTTCAAATACTTATGATCATAAATTATCTTATAGACGAACCTGATCGACCAGGAAAACCGTATGCTAAAGACTGGAACAAAAATAGTGTACATTTGAAGTGGACGCCACCAGCAAATGAAAATGGTGCTCCTGTTACATCATACATAATCGAAAAGAAAGATCAATATAGGTATTCACATCTTTTTCATTGCGTAAAAATTGTAATTCATGAAATTATATGATCGTTACATTTATACGTAACGAATACTTCAAAATTAAATATTTATTATTTTGTCTGCATAAATACATCGTGTTATGTTTTCAATTTATTAGTTCTAAATGGCAAAAAGCAACGGAGTTAATTGGAAATAAATGTGAAGGACGTGTGCCTGATTTGGCTGAAAACATGAAGTATACATTCCGCGTTATTGCTGTTAACAAAGGTGGTATGAGTAAGCCAAGTGACCCTAGTGACCCTGTTACTACCAAAGACAGAAATGGTAAGATTAAGTACCTACAATATTTTACTCTAAAATAATTTAACCAAAATTCTATTGTAGATAATTTAACTACAAGTTTGTCGAGTAAACAATAAAATCTATAAAATAGTTGTTATATTACTTGAAAAATTAAATGCAGAGTAATGTTTTAAAATATATTATGATAATTTAATTTAAGATTTTCTAGAAAATAAGAATTACCCAAAACAACATTAAAGAGTTATATAATATTTTGTTTAGAAAAATTGAGTTTTACAAATGGTTAAGTGACTTAAGTCAATTTAAAAAATAAAAATTATAGGAAGAGTGTGACGAATTTAAATTGTTAAAAGATTATGAATTATAAAATAATTATACTATCTCTCATTAAAATAAAAATAAGTTAAGGGTGGTTAGGGTGATAAGGGTGATTCCATGAAAATTAACATGAACCGTGAGCATTTGGGTCTTAGATTTTTTTTGAAAATTTGATAGTATATTAAGAAAAGATCACTAACACCAAAAAAATAATTTTGTAAATAACTTATTTTGATCTAGTCATTGCGAAATATGTAAAGTTATATGCATTAACACTACAACTTTGCGGTTCCATAACTTAGCGATTAAAAATCTTATAATTATGGAACATACACACTTTAATTTAATTTTAAGAGTATTTTTTTCAAAATAAAAAAAAAATTTAATTACCATAAAAAAAATTATATATTTAAATTTTACATATTTTTTGAATTTTGAAAAAAAGTTACTTACATTTAAAAATTAAAATTTTTTTTAGTTATTTAAGTTATTCATTTTTTATTGATTAAACATTTAAAAAATAATGTAATCTTTGTTTACATAAAACAGCAATGACTTCGGTTTTTTCCAAAATCTATGAACTTATATTCGTATAACTTCGTTGTTCATGAATACATTTTTTTTTAATTTTTATAGGAGCTTGTTTGTCTGAGATTTGATAAAAATTTGATGATTCATATTTTCTTTTGTTGAAAGTTACAGAGGCTTAAATCTGACAAATTTCGTTGTTCCTAAAACTTTTTACTAACTGTATTTTTATAGATGTTCAATGTACATTTCCCCCTTATGAGTCAACAGTATTATGGTTAACAGAATAAAAATCATATTACTGTCTATTACTATAACATAAAATGACAATAAAAATTTTTCATTCATTCATACCAGATGAAATTGACTGTAGTCTCTCTCTATGACTAAAGTCAAATAACTGTTCAATTATCCTTAAACAAAAATTAGCCTTTTTATAATTAAATAAATATAAAATTCATAAAATATTTAGATGTTTAATTTTATTTAAGCTATTATAATTAAAATAAATATATGTATATTTAATTAATTAATTAATTAGTTAATTAATAATAACTTATTATTTTAGTTCCACCAGTTATTGACAGAAGTACACTAAAGAATTTGACTTTAAGAGCTGGACAACATGTTAAAATTGATGTCAAAATTAGCGGAGAACCTCCTCCAACTAAAGTTTGGTATCACAATAAAGCACGCCTTGACAGCAAAAATAACTTTAATGTTGAATATGAAGATTACCGAACAAAAATTTCAGTATCTATTGTGGATAGATCACATACTGGCGCGTATATTATAAAAGCCGAAAATGACTCTGGTAAAGATGAAGCATCATTCGACATCACAGTTTTAGGTATACTCCAGTCAATATTGATATGTAAACAAATAACTAAGTTAAACACTCAAATTTTATACTTCTAAATCATTGTAATAATAGATAAACCAGGAAAACCAGAAGGACCATTAAAAATATCAGATGTACACAAAGAAGGCTGCACCTTAAAATGGAATCCTCCCGAAGACGATGGAGGCGTCCCACTCAGTCATTATGTTATAGAAAAGATGGATACCGACACTGGTAGGCTATAATTGTCTAATCGGTTTTTTCTTTTACATTATTAAATTTTATTTATTTATTTAAATGGTGTGATACCCAAAGGGAATAGACTACAGATAGAACTGAACAACTTAAATTATGCAGTAAATATAAATTAGAATAAACATAGTAATTGTAAGGGTGTAAATTAAAATTTAAATACTAGCCATAACGGATAACGAATCTGTCTCTTACATCATACAATAAAAAAATAATAAGAGATAAGGTCGCCAACCTATGGCGAGATAATATATTATCATAGGGTTTTAAAATTTAAATTTATATTCTTTAGAAATGATAGTAGAAAAAATTATATTGTTCAATTTATGTACAATAGTTAAGTAAGTTAAGCTATTAAAATAATTAAAATAATGCTAATAAATGACTAGGTGAAATTATAAAATTATTACACTAAAAACTTTTATAATATATAGAATGTCACAAATATCTTTGAGATCCCATCACTAGTCAAAAACAGGAGTGCCGCTAAAATAAGATAGTTCTACGCCTCAAGTAAGCGACAGGTTTTAAACAGTTAGACTTAGCTTGCAAGATGTCGGGACACCCCAAAATAGCATGCTCTATTTGACCACTAGGGTGAAATAAAAGAATAAATTTAATATAATTATCGTACTTGGCATAAAAAATTAAACTTCTAGAATTTTTTTTAAACGAATATGCGTTTTCCAAAAAATAAAATGAAAATAAATAATTAAAAATCAACAAAATCAGTTATAACGTATTTTAAGACTTTTACATATTTTTTACTGTATGTGGTGTTTTTGTGGGCTATTTATTGAGAAAACAACATTGAAGTTATTATTTTTGAAGATGAAGAAGAAAAACACTTATAAATAATATCTGCATTACTTTATTGTGTCCAATATTCTATATTCATTATTAAAATAAAAGTATAATAAGCACTTATGTTAGATATTATCGACTGCAAGGTATCAGCGTAAATGTTATCTTAATACTACCACGTGTAGTGATAAAAAATTACTCTACATTAGTGATGAAGATCGCAACAACTTATAAAAATATTCTCTCATAAGCACATATTACCAACTCCACTCAAAGAAAGACTCGTTTTGTAGCTTCGGTCAATACAATAAACATTATAAAAATTAGAGCAAAATTCAGAATCTAAAATTCAATTATTAAGTCACGTCTTAATTAGTATACTAATATATTATATACAATAATATATAACATTTTAAAGCGTCTAATCTTGTACGTAAGCTACGAAGATTTTGCTAATACTCTTAAAATTCATATTTATTTACAATTTTTTTCTTCACAATCTTTACAAGTTAATATATAACTATAAAAAAGCTATGGGCATCTATTTACTTTTTTTGCATAGTGAAAGAATAAAATTGTATTATTGAATAAACCAATTGTTGTCATCTGATGATCTTCACTGAAGCAGTAGCTGTCTTAAGTTCCTCGTGAAATTTCTTTGGCGCTCTTTATAATCTTGATTTATCCAAATATTTATGTAGCTAATTTTTATTTCAGTGCAAAAGAAACGTCTATGATTACTATGACTTTCATTACTTTATTATTTTAAAATACTATTGTCTATATAGGTCGTTGGGTACCGGCTGGTAGAAGTAAAGAACCTAATTTGACTGTATCAAACTTGGTTCCTGGTCAAGAGTACACATTCCGCGTGTGTGCCGTTAATTCTGAAGGCGAGTCTGAACCACTTATTGCTGATCATTCAATTATTGCTAAAAATCCGTTTGGTAAGATATGACAACAAACATTTTTGAGTCGTCATTATATGTTTTTATTAACTGTTAGATGAACCAAATGCACCTACTGCACCAAAAATTACTGATTGGGACAAAGACTTTGTTGATTTGGAATGGGAACCTCCTTTAAATGATGGAGGTGCTCCCATTTTAGGTTACGTCATTGAAAAACGAGAGAAAGGAACATCCCGTTGGATAAAATCTGGTGAAAATAAAGAACCAGTAACAAAAGGTAGAGCTGATGACTTAGAGGAAGGAGTGGAATATGAATTCAGAATTAGGGCGGTTAACAAAGCAGGACAAGGAGATCCAAGTCCACCAAGTGCATCTATCATAACCAAACCAAGAAAATGTAAGTTTGGATTTTTTTTTATAAACCAAATGAAAAATGTGATAATAATAATATTATAACAACAATTAAACTAATAATTATAGTGGCGCCTAAAATTGATCGAAAAAACTTAAAATCTCTAACTATTCGAGAAGGTGAACCGGTTTCTTTCGATGTTAAAGTTTCTGGGGAGCCAGCCCCAGATGTTACATGGTCATTTAACAATAAAAATATACGCAATAATAGCATTTATCAAATAGACAATGTACCTTATAATACAAAATTCTATCACTCTAATCCAATGCGAAACGATACTGGAGTATATAAAATCGTAGCCACAAATAAATACGGCGAAGACGAGGAAGAAATCGAAATTACAGTTCTTGGTAAGTACTTATAACGTAAACCTCTTTAATTTCTTTCACAATTAAACTTATTTTATATTATTTTCAGCCAAACCTAGTGCACCTGAAGGTCCAATAGAGGTATTAGATGTTAACAAAGACGGGTGCAAATTGAAATGGAAAAAACCAAAGGATGATGGGGGAGAACCATTAGAAGGATATTTAGTTGAAAAATTCGACCCTGAAAATGGAATTTGGTTGCCTGTTGGACGTACTAAAGATCCTGAGATGCAAGTTGCAGGCTTAATCCCTGGACATGAATATAAATTCCGTGTTAAGGCTCTTAATGGTCAAGGTGAATCGGAACCTCTTGAAACTACATCAACTATAGTTGCTAAAGACCCTTTCAGTAAGTGACATTATATATTGATATTTTATTTAAATGTATAATCTTTTTTATACTATTTTAGCAACTCCAGACACACCTAGTACTCCAGAAATAAATGACTGGAGTCAAAACCATGCTGATTTGGTATGGAAAAATCCAATAAGTGATGGTGGAACTCCTATAACTCATTATATAATCGAGAAAAAAGATAAATATAGGTAAGATATTTTGTGAGCAATGAAATATTTTTTTTTATTTAACACTCATTATATAACTTTTAGTCCGGTATGGGAAAAAGCCGGTGAAACTATGAGTGAAGAACCTAAAGGAACTGTAAATGGTTTAATCGAAGGGAACGAATACCAATTCCGTGTTATTGCTGTAAATAAAGCTGGTCAAAGTGAACCTAGTAAACCAACAGCCACCTTTATAGCAAAACCACGATATTGTTAGTAAAATTTTTTTTATAGAAATTTATTTAAGTACAAATATTTTTTTATTTTTTAGTGGCTCCACATATTGACCGACGTAATTTACATGATGTAAAATTATCTGCTGGTACGTCATTAAAACTAGACGCAGTTATCACAGGTGAACCACCTCCACATGTAGACTGGAGATGTGGTGCAATGCCCTTAAAGTAAGATCAATAATATTGAGTGTTCTAATCATTTTATTTAATAAAAATATAGTACACAAAATATTTTTTAAATAGATCTGAGCCACACGTTCATATTGAAATAGTAGATTATTACACTAAGTTAATAATACGACCAGTTAATCGAGGTAATAGTGGTCAGTATACTGTTACAGCCGTAAATAGTTCCGGAAAAGATACTGCCACTATTAATGTTATAGTTACTGATAAACCATCTCCACCCATAGGACCACTACAGGTACTAACCAGCAAATATTGATCTCATTATCTAAATGCCATTTCTTTATTTATACTACTTATATTTTTATTAAGATTTCTGATATAAACAAAGAAGGCTGTCAATTAAACTGGAAAAGACCTGAAGATGACGGCGGTACACCAATTGAATATTATTTAGTAGAAAAATTCGATGTACAGAAAGGCAGCTGGATTCCTTGTGGTCGAACAGCCGATACAGGTAAATTTGAATAATTGAATTTTGTATTTGAAGTAAAAATAAATAAACAAAAGCTTATGTTTTAAAATTATTCTCATAGCGCTTGCAGTAACTGGCTTAACGCCAGATAAGGAATATAAATTCCGCGTTACTGCTGTCAACGCTGAAGGTGAATCTGAACCATTGGTAACAAATAAATCAATCGTTGCTAAAAACCCTTTCGGTAACTAAAATACTTACATTGGAATATATATATATATATATAGTAATATATAATACATAATATTTTTTAGACGAACCTGGAAAACCAGGTAACTTAGAAGTGACGGACTGGGATAAGAATTTTGTCGATCTAAAATGGATACCACCAAAGGATGATGGTGGTTCGCCTATTACGGGTTACGTAGTGGAAATGAAAGATAAGTCAGGAACTTGGGAAAAAGCACTTACAGTGCCAATAGGACAAACAACATGTACTGTTCCTGGTTTGATGGAGGGCGAACCTTATCAATTCCAAGTTAGAGCAATAAATGCTGCTGGCCCTGGAGAAGCTAGTGAACCAACACAAACTATTATAACTAAACCACGCAATCTGGCACCACATATTGACCGCACAAACTTAAATGACATCAAAATTAAAGCAGGACAAACTATAAGTTTTGATATTAAAGTTAGTTTTTTTTTTTAAACATTAGTTCTAACAAATTTCCTATTAAAGTTTGTGACATAATACTTGAATTAATTGCTTTAGGTTACCGGTGAGCCTGTTCCAAAAACTAAATGGGTTAAAAACCATAGAGATATCCGAACAGGCGACGGTGTTAAACAGACACACGTAGATTACAATACTAAATTAATTATTCGCAATGCTACTCGAGAAGATTCTGGAACATACACATTAACAGCAGAAAATATAAATGGAAAAGATACAGCATATGCTGAAATTACTGTTTTAGGTATATAATTTTTTAATTTTATTAAATTATCATAATTATCTTATGCGTATACATACAAATATATTAAATATATGTATATTATATACAATGGCGCTGATTCTTATGTACATTATATGTGTACATTTATCAAATAAATGATATTTTGAAGATAAACACCCCCAATGAATGCGATTTACTCAAAATTGGAAATAAGTTCTACTGATTTCTACTGAAAATTGACAACTCATATAACTTATAATCTATATAACATATTATTATTTTTTTTTTAATCAATTTTTACAATATAGAACTATATTTAAAATATGTTTTAGGTTATTTTTCGTAATTACAAAAAATATTTTAAAAATTAATTTTTTTATTAAAATTTTTTTTAAGATCTGAAGATAGCCATTTTATAGATAAGTTTTTAAAAAAATGTTTATACCAAATACTTATATTTTTACTCAGTAGTTACGTTTATATAGCATTTTGAAATTTGTTAAATTATGATTTTTCTTACAATTTTCCTATGGTATCAAATGTTAGTCTATAATATGTAAAGTACGGAAGTAAACATTGTCTAATTATGTTATTTACTGGTAACAATACTCGATTTCTTTTACATGGATATTAATAACGTTTAACACGCTTTTTATAGAAATAATTATCTCTAATCTTTATTACATAAGTTAGAAACATTATCGTATGTTAACTACAAGTGTTCGATGGTTAGCCAAGTTAAAAGTGATAACAATTATTAATTTGTGTGTTTCTATTATTGATATCATATTATTATAGGATATTTCTTATTAGGAGATTTGATAATAAATGCACTTATTCACTATTATTCATATTTAAATTTATGAAACATAAACCTATTCATTCAATTAAAAACTCAACATGTTTTAGATAATATTTTTATCCTTTTTATTATTAAATTCAATTTTACTACCACTTGTTTTTTCATATTAATTACAAATGCTTATTTAAATTTTAATAATTTTCATGGAAAAGAAATCGTGTACTGTTACCAGTATATAACGTAATAAGTGTTAACTTCCGTCCTTTACATTATATGGATTATCATTTGATACCATAGGAAAATTGTAAGAAAAATCATAATTTAACAAAATTCAAGATGCTATATAAACGTAACTACTGAGTTAAAATATAATTATTTGGTATAAACATTTTTTTAAAACTTATCTATAAAATGGCTATCTTCAGATCTTAAAAAAAATTTTAATAAAAAAATTAATTTTTAAAATATTTTTTTTAATTTCGAAAAATAACATAAAACCTATTTAAAATATAGTTCTATATTGTAAAAATTGATTAAAAAAAAAAAGTATAAAATATTATGTTGATCATAAGTTATATGAGTTAGCTAGATCTGGGTCCACTCTGTATATATTAAACAGCATTGACCTGTGTTAAAGCTTTCAAAAGCATTTGTTTTAAATGGAAATTATATTATATAGAAAAATAAAGTGATAAAAAAATAAACAAATATTACTTAAAATTATTACTTTAAAGAAAAATGCATATATTTTTGTAGATTTTAGATGCATATAAATTCAGACCCTAATTATAACTAATGACAAATATTATAATCTATTAACTATTTTCAATTTACCATAAAAACAATTTTATCCATACATTTTATTAAAAATTTCCGATTGTCAAAGAAATTTCCATTTGAAAAATTTCTAACTTACAACATTAGTTGTAAAATATAAAAATTAAAACTTTAACTTCTTATTTAGATAAACCTAGTGCACCAGAAGGACCATTAAAGGTTTCAGACGTAACAGCTGAGGGCTGTAAACTTGCATGGAAACCACCTGAAGATAATGGTGGTCAACCAATTGAAAACTATATAATTGAAAAAATGGACGAAGCGACCGGTCGCTGGGTGCCTGTAGGCGAGACTGATGGTCCAGAAACCAATTTTAATGTAAAAGATTTAATACCAGGACATAAATATAAATTTAGAGTAAGGGCTGTAAATAAACAAGGAAAATCTGATCCATTAACAACTAACCAAAGTATTGAAGCTAAAAATCCATTTGGTAATTTACTAATTTAAATCTGAATAAATATCGATAATTTCTGACAAAATAAAATTTTAGATCCACCCGGTCGCCCATCCAATCCCATTGTTAAAGACTTTGACAGAGACTTTGTTGAACTTGAATGGGAAAAGCCTAAAACTGACGGTGGATCACCAATTACAGGCTATTTAATCGAGAAAAAAGACAAATTCAGGTATATTAATGTAGACAATTTAAAAATAAGGTCAATATAAATTAATATTTAGGTTATTAGTTTAAATATTTTAATAGATAAATAATATTAAACATTTTTAACAGTCCAAATTGGATCAAAGCTGTTGAAGTTGCTGGTGACAAAAATAGTGGAATCGTACCTGATTTAACTGAAGGAACCCAATATGAATTTCGTGTACGTGCAATTAATAAGGCTGGCTCAGGTGAACCTAGTGAACCTACATTGCCACATACAGCAAGACTTAAAAAATGTAATACAATAAAAAATTCTTTTCAAATATATTAAACGACGTAAACAAAGTTAACATTATTATTTTATACTAGTGGCACCACATATTGATCGAAATACTCTTGCGGATATAAAGGTTAAAGCTGGAAATATGTTCGAATTCGATGTTAAGGTAACTGGAGAACCTCCTCCAACTAAAGAATGGTCATTTAAAGGAAATGTTTTAATTAAAAATGAAAATATGAGTATTTATAATCAAGATTATTCGACAAAACTTAAAGTAATTGACGCTAAACGTTCAGATGATGGAATTTACTTCCTTGTTGCCAAAAATATGCATGGAATGGATAAAGCACAAGTCAAAGTCACTGTTATAGGTATAAAATTTAATATATGTATATATATATATATTTAATATACTAATTTCCAAAATAATTTTAGACGTACCGCAACCACCAGAAGGTCCATTACACCCTACCGATATTACCAAAAATTCATGTGTACTCAAATGGAATCCTCCTAAAGATGATGGTGGATCAGAAATCACACATTATACTGTTGAAAAGATGGATGCAGATACAGCAAGATGGGTTCCAATAGGAGAATCTACCGGAACATCGTTCAGGTAAAATTGTAATTATATTAAATTAACTAATAATGACAATGAATCTATAATCTTGTTTTAGAGCTGATCATTTAATTGAAGGACATAATTACAACTTCAGAGTAAGAGCCGTTAATAAAATAGGTGAATCATCGCCTCTTAATACGTTTGACAGTATTACTGCAAAAGATCCATATGGAAAACCTGAAAAACCAGGCGCCCCCGTCGCTACTGGTAAGATAATACATTTTTATAGCAGTTATTGAATAACTAGGTAATCTAATAATTGCATCCATTTTATTTAATTTAATTCAACAGATTGGGGAAAAAGTTTTGTGGATCTTGAATGGAAACCACCGAAAAAAGATGGTGGATCTGATATAACTTCTTACATAATTGAAAAACGAGAAAAATACGGGTACAGTCCATTTATTATTATTATTATTATTATTGATAACTAATATTACCTAATTAATAAAAACTACTTGAAAATTAAAAAGGTGTTGTTTATAAAACTAGAATATTTCACGTAATATTAAAGTTTTTATATTTTACTATAATTTCTTCTTCTTCTTCCTCGCCTTAATCCCAACTACTTGGAGTCGGCCACCCTTATCCTATACTTCCACTTGACACGATCTTCCTCATCGTCTACGTTCACATCAGCCGTCCTCGTATCGTATTCAATAGTATCCCTCGATCTCTTTTTTGGTCTTCATCTACCTTTTATCCCTTCAACATCCATTTCTACAACTGTTGTTACAGCTTCCGATTCTTCTCTCCTCATAACATGATCAAACCATCAAAGTCTATTTTCTCTCATCTTATCCACGATTAACGCTACACCTATACTTCCTCTTATATGCTCGTTCCTTATCCTATCTTCTCTAGTCAATTCACTCATCCATCTAAGCATTCTCATTTCTGCTACACTCATTTTCGTCTCTGCTTTCTTATCAACCACCCAACACTCTGAACCATACATCATAGCTGGCCTCACTACGGTTTTGTAGAATTTACCTTCCAGACTCATCGGAATTCTTTTATCGCATAAGACGCCAGACGCTTCTCTCCACTTCAACCACTCGCACTTAATCCTGTGACTTAGATCCTCGTCAATACCACCGCACTTTTGCACAACTGACCCTAAATACTTAGAGTTTTCCATCTCTCCTATCACGTCTTCGCCTATTATCACTAACCTCCTCATTTCTCCTACCTAGTGTTTTCCTTAACAAAAAGGAGAACACGAGTAAAGTTATTTTACAATAATTTAATTTTATAAATATAACATAGTGCTTAACAATATTTTAAAATGTAAAGTTATACATGAAATTTTTTTCAATGACTTACAGTCCATGGGAAAAATGTGCTACTGTAAATGGAAAGAAAACTAATGCTACAGTTCCCGATCTAACAGAAGGTCATGAATACGAATTTCGAGTGATAGCTGTTAACAAGGGTGGCCCTGGAGAACCAAGTGAACCATCAGATGTTATCACATGTAAACCAAAATTCAGTAAGTAAACTCAACATAAAATATAAAAAGTATATAATAAATCATATTTTATATTACTAGTGGAACCAGTTATCGACTCAACTTTCTTGCCTGATCTTATTGTTCGAGCTGGTAATAAAATAAATTACACTATACCAATCGAAGCATCTCCTAAACCATCTGTCAAATGGAGCATTAACGAAATTCAAGTTAAAAGTAGTCCCAGAGTGGACATTCAAATTTATAATGCACAAGTCATTTTTGAAATACCATTCTCACAGCGTAGTGATACTGGTCGTTATACCTTGACACTAGAAAATGATTTAGGAAAATGTTCAGCATCTGCAAACGTTACAGTACTAGGTAAAAACATAAATTAATTTAAATAAAAAAAATCAAATTTACATCTTAGTTAATTAATATACATAATTGAAGAAATCTAACTGACAACTCTAATAACTTTTTATCGGATTATTTCACTGTATTTTTTTTAAGAATTTTTGCATTTATAGACTACTTTTAAACATATTTTTAGAATCGATACGAAACTGAGAAGGTATTGGTTTTACCCTGATATATTTTTTTTTATATTGGGAAAGCCTCCTAAATTGTAGACATTTAGAAAAATATCTGAAAATTGCGCTATTTTGAAAAATGACATTTTCCACATTTTACTGTATTTTAAAACTAATACAACTTTTTTTAAAAAAAGATTGATTGAAACTTTTTAATAAGATATACTATTTAATACAAAGTTTCTTCTTATATAATTTGTATGAAAATCCAATGAAAGATCGAAGTACAAGTAGGTTTGAAAGAGACCCACGAATAAAAAAAATTTTTTTTTTTTTAAATGTTAAAAATCTGACAAATTTTAAACTATGTAATTAAAGCTTTTGATATATACTAAAATTCTATCTTATAATTCTTCTACATTGAAAAAATCGCTATCAAAATAAAAAAAAATCGCAAAAAAACTTTATTTTAATTAAGCAAATATTTTACCAACAATTTAATATTTGAATGAAATTTAAAAAAATAAATATTGTGAAATTACAAATATAAAAGTTATTGTGAAATATAACAAATTCAAATAGAAACTTTTTTATAATAGCAATTTTAGTCAATGTTAGATACCATTTATACTTGCTGAACTATGCCGTGTTACCATTATGTCATGACCCACTAAGTTAGTTTTTTTATTGTTTTTTTTAACAATAAAAAAAATGTATTTTATTTTTTTCTAAAGTCTTTTTTCGAAATTTTCCTACAAAAAATTTTAATGATGATTAACAAATTTAAAACGAGTAATTTTGAGTTTCAAACATAGAATACATTAGTAACATTGGTGGGTACAACTTGTACTCTTTTAATATTATTACCCAAACTCCACCCACGCTACTTATACTTTCTTTTTTATTAAAATGCTTGTACCTTAATGAGTACGAATATTGTTACTGGCCCATTCATTGTTTTTGTAAAAAAAACTATCTATTTTGGAATTTTGAATAAAAATAAAATTAAAAAAAATTGTTTTGTATAAAAGACATATAAAAAAAAGTACAGTAAGAATCCAGTAATCTGGAGTTGAAACATTTTTTAGATTAGTACTTATTGATTCCTGACAGTGATTAAAAAAAATCAATGACAAAAAATACTTCGATCCGTATTGCAAACATATTTAAAGAAACATTTTAAATATCTATTCAAAATTATATAGCTTTTGACTTTAAAAGTCTACTTATAGAGGTTAAGTCACCGGAACATATTTAATTTTTGAATCATATATTACAATAAACAAGTTTAATTTGAAATAATTTAGAATGATAAAAATATTATAAAATTGTTTAATTTTATCAAAAATTATATAATTTTGGCTTTATAACATGAGAAGCTCTGAACCATACTTTTACGTAGATACAAACTAAAAATATACAAATGTCCCTTAATCCTTTTTCCTTATTTTATTTAAACGAAATTTATCTCGGAATATATAAATTTTTAATGAAGACAACACTATAGCTATTTTCATAGCATGATAGAAGATTGTACGTAATACTTTAATAGTGATTTTACTAAATGAATTATTAATTTCATATCATCTTTAACAGTAACATTTTAAAATTTTGTTTGGTCTATTTATTCCCAAGCTTGGTGGGAATCGTTTAAACAACGCTATTTCAGAACCTAAAGATATACACGTTTTCAATTAATAAATTAATGGTAGTACGAACTAATAAATGTGACGATAATACGGAAAATAAAGAAGAATCCTATCTAATGACTACTACAAAATAACACAAGCCCAATTTCTTTTTCCTGTGTTTAAAGTTATGACAAATAAATCTTCTGATTGTGACATAAATAATTCTTCTTTAATCATTTGTGATTCAGTTCTTTAATTTGGATTTTTTGAATAAATCACCTTTCATTGTATAATTTTTCAAGTTAAAAAATACAATGCTAAATATCTTGTATGGGGATTTTTACTTTCTTCCAAAGTATTACAATTTTCATAACCTAAGATGAGCACTTTCATGTATGTTCACTACATGTAAATTGTAGAAAAAAACTAACAAAACTTGCTTAATAAAAGGTTATTTACTATCAGTAATTTAGCTTCATTCATTACCCAATAAACAATCATTATTCCTAATTTTTGAACTGGTTATTATATAAATTTACAAAAAATAACGGGTTTAAAAAAATTTATAAGTACAAAACTTATGGAAAATATCATTGTCTAAAATTAATGTTTTATGGTTTTTTTTCTATGGTCATTCATTAACAAATTAAATTTAAAAACTACCCTTATTGTCCAATTGTCAACATGGAGTAGGTACGGGTTAATCTTGTATGATTGGCGTGAACATTTTTTAATTCATTTTTACATGTATTTCCACAAATTTGGAGAGTGAAGCTGAAGAATTTCCAATGTCAAAAATAAGGAATACCCTAATGGACCCCTAAAACGTAGTTTTAACATAGTTCAAAACTATTAAAATTTATTTTAAAAAAAATTAATACAAAAATATTTGCTGTAAAAAAGTTATATAAGTTAGATTTGTTTCATTCTGTTTAATAATATATTAAGTTTTCTTTTATTGATTTTTACGGACCATTGATATCATCTGTGATCTATGCTAAGATGTTTCTTAACCATGTATTCTATGGGATCGATATTTAGTTTATCGCTAGAGAAAAGAAAGGCAACTGCAATCACTAAACTGATGTCTCGTTTTACAAATGTAGCAGCTCTTGACCTAGTCTCGAACAGTGCGCATCAGGCACTACCACGTTACCGACTTGACCACATTTGCCTTCTTAAAATACTAAAATCAAATTTGTTTAATTATAGATCGTCCTTCGCCACCAGTAGGTTCATTAGATGTTTCTAACGTGAGAAAAGATGGATGCCGTTTAACATGGAAACAACCAGTCGACGATGGTGGCGCTCCGATTTTACATTATGTGATTGAAAAAATGGATGTATCTAGAGGAACATGGTCGGATGCTGGAATGACCACATCGCTTTTCCACGATGTTATACGTTTAATTCATAAACGGGAATACTTGTTCAGAGTAAAAGCAGTTAATAATATCGGCGAATCAGATGTACTTGAGACTGATAAATCGACTATTGCTCGCAATGAATTTGGTATGTAATTAAAAAATATTATAACATTTGAAAATATGTGTTTATTTTCATGATTTTTTTCTAGATGAACCTGAAGCACCTGAAAAACCAATTATTACTGATTGGGATGAAAACTTTGTCGAGTTACAGTGGGAAAAACCCAAAAACGATGGTGGTAGTCCGGTTACTGATTACATTGTACAAAAAAAAGAAAAAGGTAGCCCATATTGGGTTAATGCTGTTACAGTTCTGGGAAGAGAAACAAAAGTAAGAATGATTTTTCAAACTTGCCTTACAATTCCTATTCTACAAGAGAATTCTCGTTTAATGTAATTAAATATTACTGTTATAGGCTACCGTACCTGATTTATTCAAAGGACAAGAATACGAATTTAGAGTTATAGCCAACAATAAAGCTGGATCTAGTCCTCCAAGTGATCCATCCGATCCAATTATCATTAAAAATAGACATTGTATGTGCATTTTTTTAATTACTCTAAAATAAAAGAAATATTGAGAATTTTTTTTAAATTTTAGTAAAACCAAAAATCAAGACTCCATTAAAAGATCTTTTTATTCGAGCTGGAACCGTACTACATGTTGACATTGATTTTATTGGTGAACCACCTCCAGAGGTAACATGGTCCCTAAACGGTTCGGAAATGAAACCAGATAACCGGACGACCATAACATCAATCGGTTACCATACAATAATGAATAGAGTAAATTCTAAACGTTCTGATTCTGGAGTTTACAATTTATTATTGAAGAATGATTCTGGAACAGATGAAGGCTCATTTAACGTCACAGTACTTGGTAAAATATAATTTTTAATTTCTAATAATTATTCAAAGCGATAATATTAATTCATACCACTTTTTACAAACCATTTATTAATAGATCGTCCCGGACCACCCGATGGACCATTAACATATGAAGATGTTACTGCTAATTCAGCTACATTATCTTGGAAGCCTCCTAAGGACAATGGAGGAAGTGAACTAACGTATGTTAATATAAAATATATTTCTGAATTATTTTTAATTTATAAATTACATTGAAGGGCATACGTAATCGAAAAGCGCGATCTAACTCATGGTGGTGGATGGGTACCAGCTGTTAACTATATTAATCCTGCTTTTACACATGCTACTGTACCGAGACTTATCGAAGGAACTCGATATGAATTTAGAGTCCGCGCAGAAAATTTACAAGGACTTTCTGAACCTTTGACTACTCTTGAGCCAATTATTGCTAAGAATCAATTTGGTTAGTACAGTTGACACAATAATATATGATAAACCCAAAAAAATATAACACCTATATAATTATTTTTCTTTTTAACAGACGTTCCGGGCAAACCAGGTAAACCTGAAGCACTTGAAGTAGACCAAGATCATATTAAAATCGTATGGACTGCTCCTATGAGTAATGGTGGTTCACCTATTATCGGATATGATGTTGAAAGAAGAGAACGATCATCCGCTGGACGATGGGCAAAAATAACAAAAACCCCCGTTAAAGTATGTTAAATATATATATAACTAAATTTATATTTTTAACTATATAATAATAATTATAAATTAATGGATGTAACAGCAAACTGAATATGATGACACCCATGTTCATGAGGGAAAACAATACGAATATAGAATAAGTGCAGTAAATGCCGCTGGTTCAGGTAAACCCAGTGAAATTTCGGACGTTTACACAGCAAAATTAACAAGAGAAAAACCAAAATTACATTTGGATGGTTTATTGGGAGGTAGAATAAAAGTTAGAGCTGGAGAGCCAATCAACATAAGTATTCCAATATCAGGTGCTCCTACCCCCAACATTGAATGGACAATAAACGGTGAAAACCCGCCAATAACCAATCGCATTCTGGTAAATTCTTTTTAATTAAATTAAAGTAATTAATAACATATACCTATTTTTTTAGTCCGTAACTAGTAGCAATTTAACCAAATTAAGAGTAGATAATTCAACACGTAAAGATGCTGGAAAATATACCGTGACAGCTTCAAATTCTTCTGGAAAAGATTCAGCTGATATATATGTATCAGTAGTCAGTTGTCCTAGCGCACCCCAAGGACCTCTACAATATCCTGGAACTACCCATGATACTGTTACATTAGTTTGGAGACCTCCAGAAGATGATGGGGGTAACGATGTCACAGGTATAAATAATAAAAACTATTAAAATTAATTTTATTTATTTATTCAGTATCAATTTTTAGGATATATGGTTGAAATATCCGAGTTTGGATCGGATAGCTGGAAACCAATTCCTGGATTTTGTCCCAATACAACATTTACTGCAAAGGGATTACAAGAAGGAAAACGATATGTATTTAGAGTACGGGCTGAAAATATGTATGGTCATTCAGAACCATTAGAAGGTCTTCCTGTAGTTGCAAAAAGTCCATTTGATCCACCCGATGCTCCTGGACAACCTGAAGTTACTCATTATACTCCAAATAGTTGTAGTTTCTCTTGGACTCCACCAGTTAATAATGGTGGTAGACCAGTGACTGGTAAAATATTTATTTATTCTATTATGAATATTAACTTGAATTTATAAACAATTAATTTTATAGGTTATATTATCCAAAAACGTGAAAGAGGTGGTGATTGGGTAAAATGTAACAATTATCCCACTTCAAACACAAGTTTCACTGCTCAAGATCTTAGAGAAGGCAATCGTTATGAATTCCGTGTACATGCTGTCAATGAGGCTGGTACAGGAAAACCAAGCAAACCAAGCAATCCAATGACAGCAAAAGAACAAAAGAGTAAAAATTTCTGTTTTAATTTTGAACATGCAAAGATAATGTAATTTTAATTTAATTTACAGAGGTACCTGAAGCTCCTGAAGCACCAAAACCGGATAGAATTACTAAAGATAGTGTTGTTTTATCATGGAGACCTCCAAGATTTGATGGTGGTTCAAAAATAAAAGAGTATGTATTAGAACAGAAAAAGAAGGGAGATATTAATTGGTCGGAAGTAGATTGTCCAACTATTTATTCGACACTGTGCACGGTAATAGAGAATAATTTAAAATAAATCAAACTAAACAAAAATCATATTGATCTTTAACATTCAAATTTATTACTCAGGTTGGAAACTTAAAAGAAGGTGAAGAGTATCAATGGAGAGTAATGGCCGTAAATGAAGAAGGTCGATCAAAACCTAGTCGACCAAGTGTTAATGTTCTGGTTGAAGAACAGGCAAATAAACCATGTTTAGATTTATCAGGCGTTAGAGATATCACTGTTAAAGCTGGTGAAGATTTCTCCATACATATACCATATGTTGGTTTCCCAAAACCAACTGCAACTTGGTTTAATAATGATCAAATAATAGATGATACTGATTCCAGAGTTCATTCACAAGTAAATAACAACTATAAAAATATTAATGTAACATTTCATAATTAATATTTTTTTACAGTTAACAGATAACTCTGTCAGTTTAGTAATTAAGAACTCAAAACGAATAGACGCTGGCCAATACAGATTACAATTACGTAATCAATCTGGATTCGATACAGCAACTTTACATGTCAAAGTATTAGATAGACCACAACCTCCTGAAAACTTGTACGCTGATGATTTAAATGGCGATTCTTTGACTTTATTCTGGCAACCACCCAAAAATAATGGAGGTGCACCAGTTTCAAATTATATTACAGAAAAGAAAGAAATAAACTCTACAACATGGCAAAAGGTAATTATTGACATTTTTTTTTATTTATAATTGGCAATTATTTATTATTTTATAAATAATATTATATATTGAAATATTAATTCAACATAATAACTAAATCGAACTTTACTTTATTAGGTAAGCAATTATGTAACATCACCACAGTGTAAAGTACGAAATCTTATTGTTGGAAAAACTTACCAATTCCGTGTAATGGCTGAAAACAAATATGGCGTATCAGAGCCTGCAATAACTACTGATCCAATAACTGCTAGACATCCATTTGGTATTAATAATAAATAAATAAATAAATAATTGTAATTTTAATAATTACTTCCACTATTTAGATGTACCAGGCGCACCAGGAGCACCAAAAGGAATTGATACATCTGAAGAATCAATTACAATTCAATGGACTAAACCCCGCAATGACGGTGGTTCACCTATTACTGGATACATAGTTGAAAAACGACTTATCAGTGATGACAAATGGACTAAAGCATCACATGCTATTATACTTGATACAACGTTAAAGTAGTTATCCAAAATGTATTTAATAACTAATTAATTAACTAAAATATATAAACAATTTGTACAGGGTGCATAACTTAATTGAAAATCATGAATATGAATTCAGAGTTAGTGCATTAAATGCAGCTGGACAAGGACCATGGAGTTCTTCATCAGATGCCATTAGATGTTGTGCTCCAGCTTGTAAACATATTTAAATTTATATATATATATATTTATATTAAATGTAGTCATATTAACTTGATTCAAATTTTATTTCAGCTGCACCAAAAATAACTAGTGATTTATCTATTAGAGACATGACTGTAATAGCAGGTGAAGAATTCACTATAACTGTTCCATTCACTGGTAGCCCACTACCAAAACCAGTGTGGAGTATAAACGGTGAAGAGATCATACCTGATTCAAGAATCAAGTTTGAAACAACACTAACAGAAACTATCTTCAAAAATAAATGCGCCAAGAGGAAAACCGATACAGGAAATTACACAATTCATTTAATGAACACTATCGGTGCTGATTCAGCATCTTGTAAAGTACTTGTAGTTGGTAAGAAACACATTGGGATAATTAAACTAAGAATTTATTTAATTCAATTAAATAATCAATTATATTTTTTATTTACAATTTAGATAAACCATTGCCACCTCAAGGTCCACTAGAAGTGTCTGATTTAACACCAGAATCTTGCTTATTATCCTGGAAACCACCATTAGATGACGGAGGCTCACCTATCACAAATTACATTGTTGAAAAATACGAGGTTTCTTCAGGAGTAAGTGTTAATGGCTTATACTATTTATAGTTAGCCTAAATAATTTATTTTTTTTTTAGTTATGGTCTAAACTTAGTAGTTTTGTTCGACCATGTCATTATGATGTCATTAGCTTGGAACCAAATAAAAAGTACAATTTCCGCGTGAGAGCCGAAAACCAATATGGTATTTCGGAGCCTATCGAAATGGACTCAATGATCACTGCCAAGTTCCCATTCACAGTACCTGATCCACCTGGCCATCCACAAGTATTAGAATGGGATGAAATTAAAGCAACTTTAACTTGGGAACGGTCTGTACATGATGGAGGATCTAAAATCCAAGGATATAAAATTGAGTTTAAAGATCTTACTGAAGGTGGTACTTGGAGAACAGCAAATGATTATGTAGTGAAAGAACCATTATACGTGATTCATAATTTATTAAATGAACATGATTATGAATTCCGCGTATTAGCTAAGAATGCAGCTGGTTTCAGCAAGCCTTCTGTTCCAACATCAAGTTTCCGTTTGAAAGGTAACGCCAAACCACCATCAAAACCAGGTACACCAATTGTGCTTAAAATTGGAAGAACATATGCAGATCTCAAATGGGAACCACCAATATCAGATGGCGGTAGTAAGATAACTGGTTATCTAGTCGAAAAACGACAAATTGGTGGTAGTCCCGCTTGGGTAAAATGCAATGATTACTCCGTATTTGATTGCCAATTTAGTGCTATGAATCTAGTAGAAGGAGCAGACTATGAATTTAGAGTATTCGCTTTAAATTCTGCTGGAAGAAGTGAACCCAGTTTATGCACCACGCCAGTTAAAATATGCGAGTTTGAAGGCGGTGAAAAACCAGATTTTATTGTACCTCTATCTAATAAAGTTGTTCAATATGGTAAACCAATTACTTTATATTGTGAAGCTGTCGGCAAACCTTTACCAAACGCAAAATGGTTGAAGAATGGTCGAGAAATAGCTTTAGGTGGAAGATACAAATGTGAATCGGCTAATGGCGTGTTCAAATTACACTTCCCTGAAGTCTCTGAAATCGATGACGGTGACTACACTTGTCAAGCTTACAACTCAGTAGGTTTTGTTACAACTTCATCGCGAGTTAAAATTGGACGTAAGTTAAACTTATAATTGAATTTCATTAATTAAAATTTTTAGTCATGTAATTACTTTTATCTTTTAAATAAATAATTATCATAAAATTTGAAGAAAATATAGTGGATAAGATATTAAGTTATTAATATTAATTTTAAATATTCAAGCCTTTTGAGAAATATTCCATATAATTATTTTTTAGTATTATTACGACATTTATATTTTTAGATCCACCAAAAATAGAAAGAATGCCAAATGAAATTAATGTACCTGAGAGCGAAAATAGTAAGATTAAAATATTCTACAGTGGAGATACATTAGACGACGTTGTCTTAGAGAAGAATGGCACTAAAGTAGAGGAAAACGATCATTTCAAGTCAACTATTTTTGACGATTATGTTATATTAATCTTAAGAGAAGCAAAGAAAAATGATGCTGCTAATTATACAGTAACCTTAAGAAATCCAAGTGGTAATGCTTCAGGATCATTCACAGTGAACATATCTGGTAAAAAGAAATCATGTATATAAAAATGTACATATATTTCAATTATCATTTATTTATTTACAGGTTTACCAGGACCGCCAATCGGTCCATTAGATGTGTCAGAAATTACAAAACACACATGCGCCCTATCATGGCATCCTCCTAAATTCAATGGTGGACTTAAGATCACCCATTATATTATCGAACGTAGGGATATTAACTCAAACCATTGGATTTGTATTTCTACCACATGTAAGGATACTCATTTCTTCGTCCAAGGTTTAGCTGAAGGAAATGAGTATATCTTTAGGGTAATTGCTGTCAACGATAATGGTCTCAGCCCACCCTTGGAAGGCGTCAATCCAATAAAAGCAAAATCACCTTTCGGTAAAATACTAAAACTAATTTTTTTCATTCGTCTAAAACCAAATTAATTTTTTCTACATTAAACATTTTTTATTAGATAAACCATCATCACCAGGAGTTCCAACGGTCACTGAAGTAGGTGGAGATTTCGTCAATCTTAGTTGGGATAAACCACTTGATGATGGTGGATCGAGAATTCAAGGTTATCTAATTGACAAACGGGAAATAGATTCTGATACATGGCAAAGAGTAAACGCATCAATTTGTGCTCCAACACAAATCAATATTGCAAACCTAATTGAAGGCCGTCAATATGTTTTCCGTGTGTTTGCTCAAAACGAAGCCGGATTAAGTTTGCCTAGTCAAGCATCCAACACTGTAACAATCAAAGACCCATTAAGTAAGTAACTACATAATGTGATCAGTTACTTTACTTACATTAATTTAATTTAATACTACTCATAGCTGCACAACCACCAGAAATAGTGAAACCTTTACGAAAAATTCAAGCGGTTCAAAATCAGAACGCTCAATTCCAATGTGTTATAACTGGAGTGCCTAAACCTACTATAACTTGGCAAGTATAACTTTTTAAAACATTTTTACAATCTAAAACAGATTTTTCAGAGTTGAATAATTATAACTTAAATTAACAGCATATATTTAACTCTTTCTAATTCAACGAAATTTTCTTACAGGTATAAGGGTGCACGGGAAATAACTCCTAGTGCACGACATCACATGTTCCACGAAGGAGATACTTATACCCTTATCATAAATGGAGTATATGGAGCTGACTCAGATGAGTACGTGTGTAGAGCAAGCAATAAAGGTGGTATTAAATCAACTCGCGGAGAACTATTAATAATGAGTAAGTTTTAATTCTCATGGTTAATTTCACTTAATGTTCTGAATTCTATTTTTCTTCAATTTTATCTATTTTTAGCACCTCCAAAATTGAATGTCCCCCCAAGATTCAGAGACACCGCGTTCTTCGATAAAGGTGAAAATGTAGTAATCAAAATTCCGTTCACTGGATTTCCCAAACCAAAAATCACTTGGTATCGTGAAAATGAAGTTATTGAATCTGGTAGTCATTTTGCCGTAGAAGTTTCAGAAAGACATGCAATTTTAACAATAAGAGATGTGAGCAAATATGATACTTCACCTTATCGTGTATTAGCAGAAAATGACTTAGGCGTGGATAGTGCAATAATAAAGATACAGATTAGTGGTACGTAATAATCAAATAAGATTTGTCATTGTTAACATTTTAGTTAAAAATTAGTAAAACATTATTTTCTGGCAGATCATCCTGATCCTCCAACTAACTTATCCGTCGAGGATATTGGTCAAGATTCATTGGTACTAAGTTGGACACCACCAATTTGGGACGGAGGATCAAACATCACCAACTATTTGATAGAAAAACGTGAGATTCCAATGAGCAGTTGGATACGTGTGAGCAATACACGATTTACTTCCTCTGCTGTAGCTGGTTTAAGTCCAGGACACGAATATGAGTTCAGGGTATACGCAGAAAATGTGTATGGAAGAAGTAAACCTAGTGATATTTCAACCACGATAAAAACTAAAGAATCATTAAAGAAAGCACCAAAAACTCAACGATATGAATGTAAACATTTCCCTCGCCTCAAATATGTTATAAACAAAACATTAATTATATTTTTTTAATTTTTTACTAGTTGATGAGAATGGTAAAAAAATACGAGGCAAAGCAGATGGAAATATTAAAGACTATGATCAATATGGTAAAATAAACGTTTATATTTAACATTATGATTATTAACTAAAACTTTTATTATTTATTTTATAGTGTTTGACATTTATTCTAAATACGTACCGCAACCTGTAGATATAAAAACTCAATCTGTGTATGACGACTATGATATACTCGAGGAAATTGGAACTGGAGCTTTTGGTGTTGTACATCGCTGCCGCGAAAGAAAAACTGGCCACATTTTTGCAGCTAAATTTATACCAATATCACATAACGTAGAAAGAGAGCTCATCAGACGTGAAATTGATATTATGAATCAATTACATCATCCTAAATTGATAAACTTACATGATGCATTTGAAGATGAAGATGAAATGGTTTTAATATTTGAATTGTAATTATTATTTATATTTTATGTAACTTATATCAATGTATTATTTATCTATTATATATGTATACATTTATTTTATTTTTTAGCTTATCTGGAGGTGAATTATTCGAAAGAATCACATCAGAAGGATACAGTATGTCTGAGGCAGAAGTTATTAATTACATGCGCCAGATATGCGAAGCCATTAAGCATATGCATGAGAAAAATATCATTCATTTAGATATAAAACCTGAAAACATCATGTGTCAAACTAAAAGAAGTTCCAATGTGAAGCTTATTGACTTTGGTCTAGCCACTAAACTAGACCCTAATGAAATTGTCAAAATTTCAACAGGAACTGCCGAATTTGCTGCTCCTGAAATCGTTGAAAGAGAACCTGTTGGTTTTTATACAGACATGTGGGCTTGCGGTGTTTTAGCCTACGTGCTGTAAGTTAACTTTCTTAATAACTAAATATATTAATATATATATAAATAAATAAATAATATGTAATATATAAATAAAGATTTTATTGTTATGTATTTATTTTAGTTTAAGTGGTCTTTCGCCATTTGCTGGTGAAAATGACGTCGAAACATTAAAAAATGTAAAGGCTTGTGATTGGGACTTTGATGAAGAAACATTTGCCCATATTTCAGACGAAGGCAAGGATTTTATTAGAAAACTTTTAATCAAAAACAAAGAGTAAGTATAATTTGTAAATTATTCTAAAAAATATATTTATTTAGTTGTTTTTTTATTTAGAAAAAGAATGACTGCTCACGAGTGTCTAATGCATCCATGGTTGATGGGAGATCATTCCGATAGAACCACCACTATTAACAAGTCTAATTTCATTAAAATGAGAGACCAAATAAGGCAAAAATATAAGGACTGGGATTCATTTGCTCTGCCTCTTGGTAGAATTGCTGAATATAGTGCTCTTAGAAAACTTATGGTAGAAAAATACAAAATATTTGAAACTTCATTCGGTATTATTTTTTCTTTCTTAAAAAAAAAAATAATTTTTTTTAAATCCTATTTATTCTAATATATTACGTTTTTATTATTAGACCGAAGACAGGCTGCTCCGCGATTTGTAATCAAACCTCAAAGTGCATTCTGTTATGAAGGACAGAGCGTGAAATTCACATGCAGAGTTATTGCTGTAGCCCATCCTACGCTATCGTGGTATCATAATAACGACGAACTCAGACAAAGTGTGAAGTTTATGAAACGGTACGCTGGTGAAGATTACACGTTCATTATAAATAGGGTCAAATTAGATGATAGAGGCGAATATATTATCAGAGCAGAAAATACTTATGGATATAGAGAAGAAGTCGTTTTTCTTAATGTACAACGTTAGTATTTATATAAGTTCAAAATATATATCTAAATAATTGTAGGTAAAAGAGATAATTAAAAACAAAAATAATTTTTCAGCTTTGCCTAAAGCTGCACCTATATATAGACCTGAAGTACAACAAATTAGAAGACGAGAACCATTAGCTCATACGTATTATATTGAAGAAAAAGAAAGTGCACCAAACTTTACATTCTTGTTACGTCCTCGTGTTATTCAAATACACCAGACTTGCAAGTTACTCTGCTGTCTCAGTGGAGCACCCATTCCAACCGTAAGCTTACCACCTTACTTAAACAAAATTTATTTGATAGTTACATGCAACTTTATTGCTGTATATATATAAATATAATAGTATTATTTGTTAAAAATTTTAGATCAAATGGTATAAGGGAACAAAAGAACTATCAAAACACGAGTATACTATTACACATACAGATGGTGTTATTACTTTAGAAATAGTTGACTGCAAACCAGAAGATTCAGGAAAATATCGTTGTGTTGCCACAAACAAACACGGAACAGATGAAACTAGCTGTGTAGTAATTGTAGAAGGTATAAAACGCTGCAATTTACACCATCTGAATACAATTTGAATTGTAAAATGGAAGATTTATAACTCGGAAAATAATTTTTATCCAACAATACAAATTGTATACATTTTTAGACTTTTAAGTACTAAATACTTGATTTTATTAAATTACATTATTTAGTTCACTCAAAGGGTGAAAGAAAATTTTATTTTTGTGCGTATTTTAACTTAATTATAGTATTTACCTAACTACCACATTTTTTTTTTTTTGATCACCTAATACCTAAAATGAATAATATCTTGTTATTTTAATTTTGATTATTAAGCGTTTTCATCTTAATAACCAGAATTTTCGTGTATCAAATAACACATATGAGTGTTGTCTATTGATCTAATACACTTTTTTTCTGCTGTTACATTCAATAGGTAGCGATCAAACTGAAGAACAAGCTCAATTATCACATAATTTACTTCACTCAGGAGGTATAGTAAATTGAGTAAAAAATAAAATCGATAAAATTAATTGTATTTTTGTATTTATCAGAACGTTTTAGCTTCGATGCGTAGTTGAAAAGCTATTACTCACTCCTAATGAACCGATTTTAACCAATGTTACGTCAAAAGATTTGAAAATGTATCTAGTTGTAGCTATTATCGCTATAATTTAAAAAAATTTCCCTAAATTCCTGTTATGAATGAAAATGTACTAAAAAGTTATAATTGTCATTAAGCAATTAATGTTGATATTTTAAATTTTCACTTTAAATTGAAATAACTTTTTTAAAAATCATTGTAAAATATTTATAGGCAATATTTTAATCATTTACGTTACCGACAATATACTTTTTGAAAATCCATTAACCAAGATACTGTGTAAAGTCATATCAACATTATTTTATTTTCAACTTTTGATAATGTTAAGAAAAATCTAAAAAATTTTAAACGTACATTAAATTAATGCTAATATAATATTTTTTAAGATGATAATATGAAAAACGATCCCAAAACTGAATGACTATGATTCATCGTCCAATTTATGAAAAAAAATCATACAATATTCAGTAAAAAATGCCAATTTTTAAGTGTTATGCATAGCAACGACACAAACCTATCATTCAAAACTAAATTAATTTATAGCTTATTTAATTTGCTATATAATTAAAACAAGAATAACATTTAAACAACTTGTCTTCTACGAGTAATTGGCTTCTAAAATCAAAAATCATATAATATTTGGTTGATATATCAAATGTTTTTTTTAATTTGTTTCAAATACGCATCAAAGCATTTTATAATAATGATTTTAATCACTATCAGATATCAGTTTTTTTATCCCTACTGTATTTTAGATTTTAATATTGTACTTAAAAATGTTAATACACATTTTCTATTGAACTTAACTAGATCGCAGGTACCATCATCAACATCATAGAGAAGCTCCAAAAGTGATAACCAAACGTACAGCAATTACGTCAAACGTTCACGGTGATAGTTCAGTTTCATCAAGCAGAACTGTTGCTGACAATTTATCAACGAAAATTAGTAACACTGCAAGTTTAAATCTTCTTTATTATACTACGCAAAATATTTAATTTCATGATTATTCTTATTTTAGACATTTAGTTCATCAGATAATAAGAGTATCAAAAAATATGGTCAAAAACTGGACGCAGCAGGCAGTCCGTCTCGATCACGTAGCGCCACTAAAGAATTAAGATGTAATTTAATTTGAAATAATCACGAAGTTGATATTTTATTTTTTAATTATTTTCAGTAACTCCAGATGAAAACATGTGTCCACCAGACTTTTCTAGTCGTTTAGTTGACACAACAGTAAATGACGGACAACCTTTAGAGTTCATTTGTAAAGTCAGTGGAGATCCTGAACCACAAATTTCATGGCTCAAAAATGGAAAGGTAAATTAATAATAACTATTGATAGTGAAAGAATATATATATATATACTTTTTTTTTTTTGAGGGAGTTTTCTATGCAAATAAATTTAAAAAAAATTTAAAACAATTATTCTCGAAAAAAAAATGTTAGAATTTCTTAGTCAAACAAAAATATTTTAACTATTCATCAGTTTTTAAGTATTGTAAAGTACAAATTAGAGTGGCGCAAAAAAAATCGACTTTAAAAATTTTTATCAGACACCCTCTAGATTTATTAAGTATATAAAAAAAAACATGTTTTGAAAATTTGAGATCAATAAAAAAATTTTTACAGGTCGCTCAAAGCGTTTTTCGTATTTTTACCAAAAATACCCCTTATTTATTAAAATTCTAAATTTTGGTCAATTATAATCATCTATATATGTAAAATGTTGTATTTTTAATGTAGAAAACGATTTTATAATTTTTTAATTTCTAAGACCTATATTGATTACGTAATTTACCTAAACGTCTAAGTATATGGTACTTTCCGGATCGATCTGAAAGGGGCCAAAATTTATTTTTAAGTTTTAAAAAATTGATAGTTAAATTAATTGTTGTGTTTATTATATGGTGTAAAATTTTTTTTTACTAATAATAAAAATTAATACCTTATTTTCACATTTTTTTAAAACTAAATTTTGATTTCTATCAATAAAGATATCATTGTTACGCAGTATTAAGGCAAAAAAATAACCATACATGCTATTTATCAATTACATAATCATAAATTTATGATCTACAAGATAGATATCAAATGCACAAAATATTATTGAATTTTGTGAAAAGCAACCTGAAATTAATCATTCACATGATGATTACAAAGAATTATTGGAGTTATGTTTATTGTGTGTTGGAAGGAAACACTCGAGAATAACTAGTTTTAGATCTCCTGGAGCTTTTCATCGAGCTAGATGGATGGCTAAAATAATATATTGCTTAAAAATTTATATGTTTCGAGACCAATTAACACCTAATAAATTAATAATTAACACCTATTAAATTAACACCTGACGAACTTTGATTTATAAGTTCAATTAAAAAAATTACAATAGATAAAATAAATATGATTACACATTTTATTTACAGATAATAAGTTCATCTGATGTGTTGGACTTGAAATATAGAAATAAAGTTGCTTCATTAAAAATAAACGAAGTATTCCCTGAAGATGCAGGAGAATATGTTTGCAAAGCAACTAATTCCTTAGGTAGTAAGGAAACATCTTGCAAACTTACAATAAAAGGTCAGAACCAAGAAATGTTTGAACTATTGTCGTTTAACAAAAAAAAAAAATTTCACAACTTAATAACGTATTTTTAAATTTATTTTAGCTGTGGAAATATCAAATAGCAAAAACAAAAATGATTCTCCACCAGTAATTGCAAGTCATTTGACTTCAGCTGTTGTAACTGATGGTGATGCTGTTACGCTTCAATGTCAAATTATTGGTAATATATTTACTCTGTACAAATAATCATAAAAAACTTTCAAAAACGTAACATTTGTTAATCAATTTATTCACTTAAGATAAAAAATAAAGCTAATTTCTTATATAATTTTTTTTTTTTGTATTAATTTTGATTCTTATGCACATTTAACACTTTTATAGGATCCAACAAATTTGATGTCGTTTGGTTACACAATTACAAAGAAATTAAACCTAGCAAAGACTTTGAATATGGAAACATAGCCAACGTTTACACATTGAAAATTGCCGAAATTTTCCCAGAAGATTCTGGTACATATACCTGTGAAGCATTCAATGACGCTGGAGAAGCTTTCAGCAGTTGTACACTTGTGGTTCTAGGTAAAGAATCACGTTTTTATTTTCTTTCCAACATTGTAGTTTAATCGCCTCTTGCAAAACTTTTCAGCTCCTAATGAAAAACCTAAAAGTATAACATTTGAAAAATTCCCCAAGTCTGTCACATCTCAAGAAAAAGAAAGTATTGATGTAGATTGTGTAATTAAAGGAAATCCATCTGAAGGTAAATTACTACATACAAATATTTGGTATTTTTAAGATAGTTTTACTCGACAATATTTGTATTATATTTTCAGTTACATGGTATAAAGATGGGATACCCGTCGGTCAAGATTCAGCCATCTACCAAACGACCAAATTGGACAATAACTACAAAATTAAAATCCTAAGAGCTAGTCAAGATGATATAGGTCAATATGTAATAGAGGCTAAAGATAAAAAAGGTGCACACGCTGCAGCAGCATTTTCTGTCAATTTAGCTCTTTTATCAGAATAAATATACGGTATGTTTAATTATAAAATATTTCAACATAAAGTTATAATTAAAAATACATTATAAAGTTAAATTTATTGTAGAACTGCCATTTTAACCTCTATTGTCTCTATGCATACCACCAGCATAATACTAGTAATTTTAATATAAAAAAAATTGATTTACAATGTATATTTCCATTTTCTACTATGTATAGTATATATTATTACAAAGATTGTAAGTATAAATTAAAATGTATGAAGATAAACAAATTCTTGAAATACTAATAACGTAAAATATTTCATTTGATGCAAGTTAATGTGCTTAGTTTTCTGAATAACAAGTTATAATTTATAATTTCGTGTAAAGAATATCAAATATATATTTGTTATTGGTAAATTAAAGGTTACTACCTTGCAGTTATATTATTTTTGTTAAATTAAATCAGTATAACATCTTATCATTTTATTGAATAAAAAAATCACTAAACGCAGCGTAATATAATTTAAAGAGTATACCTTTAATTTAACACTAGCAACTGGAAATAATTTGTAACTTATATTAAATGTATAAAATTAATGTTGTTAAACTTATAAATTAACCTATAATGTTCAGTATCTTTATAATGATGATGAATAAATAAAATCAATATTTTAATAAAAATCAAACCAATTATTGAAAGGATTAATGACTAATATTTGTTAAGATATTACTTATTATTGTTATTTTTTATTAAGATATATAAAAATTAAGTTATTCAAATTATTTATATGAATTTTTTGTTTTATTATGTTGTTTATTTTTGAGATTTAGTGTTTAGCTTTTTAAGTAGATTTTTTTTATTTGCAAATATTAACTTCATAAATTACTATAACGTAAGGATATAATTGTTAGTTTTGAATTACAATTTGCTCTGTTTATTTTAGGTCCTAATTAGTTAAATAACACGTTCAATGAAAAATGAAAAAGTGTGTAATTATTTGTTCACCAATATACAGAGTAATTCTGAACCAAACCACATTAATATAAAATGGGGATATAAGGGGAAGCAAAAAATATTTCGTTGTTAGTTTTTAAATATCATAAAAATTAAAGTTCAATAATTTAAAAGATAAAAAAAACCATTTTTGAAAATTAAAAATTCAAAAAGTTTGCGAAATTTTTATACAAAAAAAAGTAAGAGTCATTCGATATTGTGTTATTTTAACTTCGATGCGAAGCTGAGAAGGTATTGGTTTTACTGAGATGTGTTTTTTTTTTGTGTGTGTCTGTTACCACTTTTTCTCAGCTCTCACCGAACCGATTTCTTTCAATGATACGTCAAAAGATCACAAATCGTATCTAATCGAAGACATTACACTCAAAAATTGAAAAAATTTCCTTCGTTCCCCGTAAATGGGGGAAACCTCTAAAAAATTTATCTATTGTTTGATATACAGAGTGTTCAGTAAGTCAGGAAACGGGTTAGAAACCTGTTTCCTGACTTACTGAACACTATGTATTTTAACACGCTTATATTAGTTTCACCTGTATGTATGTAGGTATGTATGTAACTTTCCAAACGCCACGCGTTATCGCATATTCCGTCGTCTAGACTAGACTGTCATAATGCATTCACCCCACCCCACGCCGGCAATAATATTCCTGTANCAAAACACGGCTATACCTAGTGCATAATACGTTTACGTACTTAAGTCGCTTTACATGTATATATATATTCTAATTACTATTAACACATTTTATTCTTATTTAAAAATATAGAACTCNTTATTCTAATTAAGAGATATAAAGTATTCATTCCGATTACGAGGGATGATTTCCGTATCGTCATTTTTCGTCACTACCTCCATGTTCCGGGAGTGGGTAATTTACGCGCCTGCTGCTTTCTTTGGATGTGGTAGCCGTTTCTCAGACCCCCTCACCGGAATCGAACCCTGATTTCCCGTTACCCGTTACAACCATGATATTGATAGTAACTACTATCATAACATGAAACTAAAAAGTGAAAAATAAATATAGTTTAAAAAAACTAAAAAAACACGCTTTTAAAGCACATTGAACTAAAAAGTTAAAAATAATTTTTAAAATAATTATGAAAAAAAAATACTAGTATTATTGTGATAAAAGCGAGGGTGCTTTGTGCCATATTTTTCGTATATTGAGCGCCCGATGCTTTTATCACAATAATACTAGTATTTTTTTTTCATAATTATTTTAAAAATTATTTTTAACTTTTTAGTTCGATGTGCTTTAAAAGCATGTTTTTTTAACTATATTTATTTTTTTTTATAAATTTGTCCCTTTACCACAGATTTAAAATGATTTTTTCACAAAAAATTAATTTTTTCAACTTAACTTTTGACAGTGTTCCAGAAATACTGACACTGTTATATATATCTTAAATTAAAGATAATGTAATATACTTTATTATAGAAAAAAAAAATTTCGGACTTTATTTTGTCATCACGGTAAAAATAGCTACCGAATGCTATTGTTATGTGAAAATTCTCGATTTTATATTTTACATTTTTTACTTTAAAATGCTATAACTTTTTAAAAAATGTATGGATCAATACAATTTTTTCATGAGAAATAACATTTATATCCCTTTTTCGACATACTTTATTTTTTAAAAATTTGACCTCTGGACTTGTCTTCGTGGTGAAAATGGCTACCGAATGCTATTTTTGTGTGAAATTTCTCGATTTTATATTTTACATTTTAACTTTATAATGCTATAACTTATTGAAAAGTGTATGGTTCAACACAATTTTTTTATGAGAAATAATATTTTTAGCTTCGATGCGAAGCTGAGAAGGTATTGGTTTTACTAAGATGTGTTTTTTTTTTTTTTTTTGTGTCTGTTACCACTTTTTTTCAGCTCTCACCGAACCGATTTC